TTACGATCCGTTTCGTCCCATATATTCTGTTAATCTTAGTAACTTCCTACGCTTCAGTTTACAATTTTGCAACTTGTTGCGAAAGTCTGCCGAGTCTTTTTGTTCCTGTGTACTTAAGAAGGCTGCCAAAGCGTTTATCACTCCTTCCCTTACCGAAACGATCAAAGTTAGTAAGTCCTGGTAAGGTGGTTATTAATATTTAATTCACTATTTAATCACATTTTCACACTGACTGAAACTGGAAAGTTTTTCTCTCAAACGTAAGCCCTTCGCATCCAAGGCGAACGCCAGTGCAGTGGCGCGCGCGTGCTCCCACACGTGACTATGCGCTCGCGCGTTTCCGCACGGGGCTAAACGCTCGCGCGCGCTTCCACACGTGACTAAGCGCTCGCGCGGACATAAACTTCAACAGCCAATATCTGCATAACGGAGCGTCGTATTAGAAAATGGAAAAGGACTTTCTGATTGATATTGGTACTAGGTATTCATTTCTCAACAGTTTTTTGTTGTTTTTTTTTATTTTTTTTCGTTAGGGAAATCATTTAAAAACGTTCCTGTCCTGTTGGGGGAAGGCCGATGATAGTATGGGACTCTTTATACCACTTCTAATATAATATAACTTATTTATTTTTGAGATCGTTAAAGTTAGTATTTAATGAAGGTTGTGTGAATGTTAAAACAGATCAATAAATGCAAAGTTCTGGTAATTTTTCACTAGAAAATTAATAAAAACGAATAATGATATTTAAAGAGTATTATAAAGAAAATACCATGACAAACACAAAAAGGAATTAAACGTTTCTGTTAAAAGTAACCCATTCAACCATTGCTCGTCGCTTGGTTGAAATAGGAAAAATAAAGGGACTGAAAAAATATGTTCCGCACGAGATAAATAACCCACAGAAGCTTCGACGAATTGAAATAGCCAATTCTCTACTTCAAAGAAACAAGCAAGATCGATTTTTAAAACGTGAATGGATTTCATACGGTAATTGGAAACGAATGCATGGATAAAAATCACAGGCCAAAGCAATGCTGAAAATACAGTTTCATCCAAAAACAATAATGGTGACTGCTTAAAGATTAACTAAGGGACTTATGCATCATAATTTTATATCATAAAAATATGTAATTATTATAGTCTTACTGTAAAAAAAAAAAAACACATGAACTTAAAATCTTTGTCGATCATGTTCATTACTATCTGTAAACAATACGTACATTCGTGCATTCATTAATATTACTTCTTATTTCTTATTTCGTAATTAATACAGACGATTTAATATTAGAATGAGAAATTCTGTTAAAGCTCTAGTAACATATACTATGTCATTAACGTTCTAAATATAATGGTTAAACGTTCGTGGACTGTTTGAATATTCCACTACGTAATTACACAAGGGAAAATTGAGATATATGGAACCCAAGTGAAATTCACAAGTTGAAAGGATAGAATCCTCAGGTGAGCAACTTTAATTCTTCATTATCGAGAGTACTACCTTCCCTTGGAAAAAAATGTTTTACCAAAGTTGCGCCACTAAATCGCCGACCAGGACAGGCACTATTCGCAGAAACATAATGTCTCTCGCGTACACATAATTTTCAAAACTATTCGCTGATCCCTATGCACACCTCGGACGCCTGAAATGAAATCCCTGTGAATTATTCAGAAGGTACGAGATCAATTCATGAATTCCTTGGACTTTTACATACATTTCATTTTATTATGTGATGTCTCAATGCAAATATGAGAGATATATTTTTAACGATTATTGCAATATAATTCGCGACACTTATATTCTACCACATCGTCTCTGCATTCTAACTATTGTAGTGAATACTTTTTTTGTAAAAAGCTAAATTATTCGCCTCGTTTCGTCTTTTAATGACAACACTCCAAATGTCTATTCGATATCTTCACTTGGAACGATTATGACGAATCTATCGATAACTATGTCCGTACCTCTTGGAGCGAAAAGAAGCATTCCATTGCAATGGATAACTGCTGCACTCAATGCTGATTCTCAGAGCCGATTTTCTAAAAACCTCTTCTTGAAATCGGTAGTCTATTTATCGGTAAGTTCTCCAAACTTTGTTGAAATCCTTCTGTTGTCGCCACTAAAATGTGCACTGGACCTCTATCACTAATATTACTTACATCAAATGCTACGACAAGTTTCAGAGTCATTACTTCATGATCGTTATTTTTAAAGGTACGATAGGCTTCAGCATTCTTGATGACACACTCGCGTATAAGGAAGTAGCAAAAATATCAGAATGGGACGTTTCCAAAGGGTCGCGCACGTCCGGTTCCCTTGTCACGGTTCAGTAGCGGCCGCGGTGTACCGTTGCAACCGCGATGCACACCGACGACAAGTTATTATTCCTGTTATGGGTCTGCCAGTGGGCACGCCGACAACGAACCTGGAATATCGATTCTCAACTGTCGAAGGGAGGCAATACGGCCGACTTCCGGCGCGAACCGGAAATGACTGTTCCACGCCTGCCAACCCAATTCCCCGTTCACCATTTACCGTGGCATGGACGAAGTTCGCCGCGCAACTGTACTCGTAAAAGAGTTATGGTTCCTTTAAGGAGGAAGGCTGGTGTGGCAACTAAAAGAGGCCTAGGAATTCTTTTAAGAATTCTTTTCAGATGTATGCTTGTTTCTTCACAAATCGCTGTACTATTGTCTCGATGGAATCACTTTGAACTATTTATTGTGAAATTTTCATTAGAAACTGTTAATGTTTGTTGCTGCAATGGTTGAAGATGCGAGTGATCTCAGAAAAATGATATTAAGGGAAAAGTGTAACGAAAGGTTCACTTTAAGAATTTTTCCTCGACGAATACCTGTTTATCCGCAGATCACTTTATCGCTATCTCAAAGAAGACACTTTTAACTATTTATCGTGATATTTTCATTAAAAAAATATTATTGTTTGTTGATACAATAATAAATATCCGAACAAGTGTTAATGATCGTTTCGAAAAACACTTCGATAGTTGGTACCCGTTAACTAGAAATTCATTCGAAATTCTGTAAAGAATTTGAATTTCAACCCCGACAACTGCCCGAGCCAAATAGAATCGATGATCGCGATGTCATCTGTCCTTGTTACAGAGCATGCAATGGGTCGGATTTAATGACGACGACCAAAGGTAAATACACTGGAAACACGCACGCGTTTTACCACCTGTTTCCGTTTAATTTCGCGTTCGTTACGTGTAATGTTTAATGGCTCACTGCATGTCCGGATTATTTAGTTTGCGGTTCTCTTGAATTCCATTCCAGAGTTTGGCAGAGACTATTCGCAAGCTATTTGTTGCGAACAAAACTATATATTCCTATTCTTAGATTCTCGTGTATCTTTCGAGCTTAAAACAACTTGTTCTTCTCTGAAAATGACCAATTATAAGGTCGAGAAAATTTAAAACTTCGGTATGTCTTTGATGGTACTAAAGATTCTCGCGCTCGAACGACCATTACTTAGAAACTTACTTAGAAACTAAATTTCGCTCGAGCATGTAATAAATTGGAAAATCTAATATGCGTTTTATTACCTTTATTTTCTTATTTGTCTTGAGCAAATTAGTGGATTTAACTGAATTACAGGATACATAAGTTCTTAGATAATTAAACGACGACTACGCTGACAGACGCATTTTGTTAGTAAAAAAGAAAATCCTAAAGCCCCTTTCGGAAAAATGTTACACAATGGAATTAATTTTCCTGGCAGTAGTGAAATGGAAACCGGTACGATTTGGCATTTTATTCGCGTGAGCGCGCAATGCGAGAAAACACAGGAGTCGTTTGAGTATGGTATCGAATCCGTTAAATGAAATCCTGTAAAACAGAAACATTGGGGGGAATGCGGGTCTAATATAACCGACGTCAGAAACGTTGAAGGTTCACAGGTCACGGGTTACCTTTCTTTGGGAATTCCGTTTCAATTAAATTTAATCCTGTGTGAGTGAGATGAAAAAGGTTGCATGCTTCGACGATAGCAGAAAAGGTTGCATAATTTACTGATTTGGAACGTACAAATTACATTTCGCCTTCTCTCTTTATTCTCGATTTTGAATTCGTCTAACATTTCCACGGTGACTTCTTTCGATGGAATTTCTGTTTTTGCGCAGTCAGGTGGATAGCGCAGATAATTGCATTTACGATTCTCTGCATTTACAATTTTTAAATAGATACACGGCTACGGTCATTGGTCAATTGGTAACAAATTGGGTTATATTAAATACTGATGTAAATAGAATATTGAATTAAATTAATGTGTAAAAAATTCTCGAGAGATAATTAATAAACGATAATTAATAGTTTTTGCATGAAGATGATTTTGTTGGAATTCGAAAACAGTTTGTTTTAACGTGGTTTCAATTCATTACTTGAAACTTTAATTTCACTGATATTTTACCTCCACAAAAGATAACATAAACTGCTTTGAATTATCGAATACACATGCTCCATTGTACATTTTTAAAAATACAGAATGTGGATCTGTAAATATAGTATTCTTAACCCATTCATCTTGTTCCTTAGACATTTTTCTCTATTAACACCGATAATGTAATGACTCGTTACACTTGCTCGGTCCACCTTGTAAATTGTATCCAAATATTAATCCAAGTCTACCAACATACTCCGTTTTCCTCGTAATATGTCAATCATTGATGCATTCACCTTATCCTATTTTTTAATCGACAATTATTATCTGCCTTTGGAGAATTGGCTAAAACTGTGCCGTACCCGACGGCCACTTGTATTTTGATGTCGATGGAACGCAAAATAAAAGAACGATAAAGCCACACGCGCGAGAGCAAGAGTAACGCGTCCATCCGCTCTAAATTGAATCCGAACACATAAACGAAAATAGGGACGAATTTACTTGGCCATCGGACAATTTCCCGCTCCATACGCTTCGGAAATGTGCATATCGCGACGATGGTACCAGCGCAGCGTGCGAATCACTTTCTTTTGTCTTCTGCAGGCTCCCGCATGGAATACGAGTGCTCGAGCATTGACTATTTTCCAAACGAGGAGTACAGTCCGGATCCCAGCGATTCAACGATGGCAATACCATGTGAGTACCATGAAAAACGCACCCGTGTGAGACAGGTGGAATGAGAAACGTGTGCCTCTGAAGGGGGTTGATTAGGTGTCCTGTGCCTGGTACTGAACTGGAGTGTGACACGCCCGTAAAATATTCGGCGGGAAAATGCTTTCAGCTGGCAGAATGCACCGTCCATGATAAACTGGATCCGACAATTTGTCTATCCCCGATTTCTTCCCCTTCCCTCGAGCTTCTTCCCATTCATCGTTTTCATCGGCCTTTGAAATAGGATCGACTAAATGATATGGAATCAGGGGAAAATATTAGTTTCTCCCTAATAAAATATTTTAATGTGACGATGTTAATTTTACCTGTACTTTCTATTTCTACTTAATTTAATTTCTGAAGATATTTGAGATTCTCCTTTTGTATATTAGTTTCATTAAGTTTGAATTTCAAAATTAACAATTGTTCATTATGTTAAGAGTAGAAGGCTCTTTTCCAGAAGTAAATATCTTTGACTGTGCACTGATCACCGCCAAATGTCAAGAAACATATTTTTATTATAATATACACCCTACAAAACATGCTTCGTAAAGCATAAAACAAATGACAATATTTCTTTCAGACATAACCGTGAATATGTGAATTACATTAATAAAATGTTGCGCTTATTTGTATCACAATTCATATAATTAAATTATTAATATATTATTATTTATTTTCATTTACCATACTATTTATTCAACGTCTCCGTTTCACGAAGCCTGCAGCGTTACACTCACAAGGTAAACATTGTTAAAAAGAAAAACTTGCCCAAAGAAGGAAAAAAACAGCTAGGTCGCAGTTTACGAATCCCCATTCCACAATTCGCCTCACAATCATTTCCTCTTGTCGACACTCCCATGCCTCGGACGACGAATAGTTGTTCGGGAAGAAAAAAAGCACCGAAAAAAATTCGGCCCAAGGAAGTTTTCCCATTCCTCGAGTCTTTCATACCAATATTTTTTTACACAGATGCAGTTACCAAGTCGGCGATGTTTTTCTTTGCTGCAACATCGCTGCTGGTGGTAGCCGAAGTTTGTTACTTCACTGCTCACGTTACTCACCCAAGACACAGACTCTGCGTCTTTGTCGCCGGAGTGGTCTTCATAGTTTCTGGTGAGTAATAAAGTACACCGGCTTATATTGCACGCAATACTTTATGCTCACCGGCTTTGTAAAAAGGGGTTATGAATGCCGGAGAACAAGAACAACTACGGGGACTCGTGGCGCGCCTCTTCCGCGTTCACGTAATGATAAAAGTGAGAGTAGAATGACGAAAAATGACCATTTGTGACCTGGGCGGGAAATGCAAAATTTATCAATGTATAACAAAATTCAAATATAATAAAAGTGTAATAATATAAATCAAAATATAATAAGGGTGTGAATAAAGAATATATTTTTAAATGTAACAAATATATGCACGTTTATTATACATTTTCTATTAGTCACTACTGCATTTTCAGTTATGCAATTATGTTATGATGGAAGGGTATCGTACCACAATTTCTGAAAAGGTTTATCATCCTTAGCCGAAACGTCAAAATAACCAAACTCGTCAACATTTGCACTCGGAAACTAAGATAGAGTAGCTACTTACTCTTGGCATCCCGTAATGCTCCAGGAAATATTTGCACATTTCAAAAGTTTCGTTTATTAAGTGACAGCCGTAACGTGACAATTTTAAGCATGATGATTGATTACCCGTTGTTCTGAAAATGGTTGCATTCTGTTGTAGTAAGATGAAAGATGAGCATTATTCTCATTTAAACAATACATTTCCCGTAATGCGTAAAAGATAAAGTGGTCCGTTATTTGTTCAATATAAATATATAAATAACAATATAAATTCAATATAAATATATAAATATTGTTCATGTAAAGAAAACAAGTTGTGTATGTTTCAATAATTTAACATATAATCACAAATAGTAAATTAACGTACGAAAATGTTGATACTTGCGTTGAAAATTTAACAGTTGATACCTCAAATAAAAAAATTAGAAAAAAATAGAAACAGTATATGGCGCCTATAGTATCGACAACGGAAATTCAGCCCTCCTATCTATCAGATTGTGCATTTCGAAATCTAAATTTACACATATTCGATTTCACGTAACGTATACCTTTCCCGTGATAGAATTTTTAATCATTTTCACTATTCGTTTTATTTGCAATTTGATATCAGACGTGGAAAATAGTAGGAATTCGCTGAATCGTTTTGAAAATAAATGTCAGTATTTAGAAGAGTTTTCATGATACATTATACTTGTAAGAAATATTCTATAATCCCCAAACAAATAGCCTATATTTTATTAATTATATAAAATAGATTTGGAATTTTATAAATGAGACTGTTTTTAATGAAAATGTTTTGGAAGAATCACTCGACTGGTTTTTTAAATTGTCTTTGTGGCTCTATTGCGTAGGAAGGGGGATTAAATGTTAAACAATCGCGCGACGGTTACTTAATCGATTATTATTAAGCTGGTCAGTCTCCGTGAAATTGTCACGAGACTGTTTCAGGGAGATAAGGGTTCGGTTATTAAACGGGTTTCCCTTTCAGGTTTGTTAATGCTGGTGGGAATGGTGATGTACATATCTGTATTTAAAGCTGAAGTTGGTAGCAAACTTAGACCAAGATCGTCGTTTCAGGTCAGTTAAATGTTGCTAGTTTTATAATAAATAGTCAAGTAGATTTATATTTCGAATTGCTGATTGAAAAATAATGATTTCAAGAATTTCATTAATCTTTATTGAAAATGTTTATTTATTATTAATAAATATTTATTTTATTAAAGTATTTAACTTTACAATACAGTAAAATGAGAAATAATTTGAAAAATCTTACACGATATTATAACAACATTTAAACTGTATAAGTATACGTTCTTTTAAAGTAATACATTACACGAGTATTTACAGTAAGTAACTACTGTAATAATTAGTTTTTATTTCAAAATGTGTTATTTATCAAAATTGAAGTGTATGTATTACACTTCACTAATAATATTTATTATTATATGAATTAAGTTAATATCACAATTATATCAATCAAGTTTTGTATGTATTTTGATCGGGTTTGCCTGTGAGTTAAAAACAAAGTGAATTCTTTTAAAACAATCTATGGTCATGAAGCTTTCGAAGAATGTGAATGGAATGCTTAGAATCGACGGGAATAATCAAATAAACTATTGGAAAAATATGTTGACGTATGAATTGTAAAGAAGAAAAATTATTTTTATTGTTATATACGTTTCCACGTTCCATTGGTAAAAATTCCAAGTAGATGAGTAAATAGTATACAGATTTATAACTTTGAAGCTGCAAATGTCAAGTAGAGATGTAAAAAAGTATTCATAAAAAATAAGATGGTGACTGAGAAAATAAAGAAAATACCAAAACATTTATTGCAACGATTTATAGCTCTGAAACTTCCACGTAAATCGTGAAATTTAACTGTAAAATTTCACAGGCAAGTCTGTGTAGCGACGAAAGTGTGATACGAAATTCTCGATCTCATATTTTCTTCGGTACCTTTTAGATTACTTCTTATCTGTAGCGCGCTTGTACGAATGAATATCTTCGCAGCAATCTTGCGATTTCAGGGACCACCCTTCACCTACAGGTACGGATTCTCATTTCTGCTGTACGTGAGTGGCTTCATCACGACCGAGGTCGCTGGCACTTACGCCATTTTCTTGTATATTTCTTGGCACCAGAGAGAACTGGTACGAAGGGATTCCAGGCGAAAAAATTACGGGGTTGGTAGTATTAGCTTCTTTTCCACGACTTCCTAGGATCGGCTCGTCCATGCTAGGAAACTTGGACAGAATTAACATCCGCTTAAAACTTTTCATTATACGAATTGGAAATCGTTAGCCTTTATTTGGCAGAATATCAAAATGACGAGGGTAACTTTCGGCCGAAATTGCCCCTATCGATACGTATGCAAATCAGGATTTTATTTAATGTGGACGTACTTTCATGATTGGCAGAATGGGCTTGTGTCGAACTTGCAACTTCAGGAGGAAGTTAATGAATATTTAATAAATGTAACGAACTCCGTTGGCTATGTGTAAATATAGAGTAAGTTTCTAAATTACATAAAATATAATTATATAAAAATATATTCGACTTAAATAATTATCATCCAGTATGAAACAAAATTATTTTTCGTTATAAAATATACTTCACAAAATCATAAATTTTAGATACTATTTATGTAAATGTCTTCCTTCGAAATAATAGACATTAATACTTTTTCAAATTAATTCTTATTGGGGTTGTACTGTTATCTGAAATGCTAATTATTGGCTGTACAGAGTAAACTTTTATCACTATCAATTGTCTAATTGCTAAAGGGTTTACATGAATTCTAATATAATTAAGTTTCAAGGCGCCTAATAAGGCTTAGTTTGCTTAATAATATTCTGCACTCTTTCCACACTGCCCGTAAATCCTTGAGATTCTTAAAAGTTTTGAAGTAGATAATTTATTCTCTTAAAAATTCAGCTTGGATCTCGAGGTCTCCACCGTAAGATAAAACCTTCATGTAAATAAACTTCTTGCTCACTTAAATATCCAGGTGGTTGAGTTCACGTATACGAACTGCAAATTCGGACGTAAAGTTTATCTTTATATTACAAGTCCTGCGTGCTAAAGTTTCTCCATAACGATTCTGTCATCCTCAAGCGTCATACATGATATTCTGCAAAAATTATAACTGCTAAATTCCATTTACGATTCGTTTAATTTATTTAAAAATTCTGTTAATCAACTTTGAATAATTATGCGATAAATTCCATTGCCAAAAATACTTATAAATTCGATCCATAGAAAACACTCTGTCCACGTTAAATTAGTCATTTATTTAATTCTTACTAATACATAGTACCTAATTTTATTGTTTAAGGTAAACCTTTATCTGCATATTGCTTATTAGAAACGATACTTATGTCTATTTATAAAAGGAAGTTATAATAGAACATTTCGACTTTGGTTTTTGACCGTTTTGTTTCAGACAGATTTTTGTTTCACACTCTGTATCCAACAAATAAAAAATATACCCCTCTAAATTATAAATCCAACAACATGTTCACGTTTTCCACGAATCTGGAATTATGTTCACCTTCAAGATAGCAATACTTTTAAACGTATATACCATAAATTATTAACAAAGGTATAAGTAATGCAAGATTAAGGAAAGCTCGATTAAAAAAATTCTAAAGCTTGACTACTCCCCTAATTTGACGCGAGTAAACTGACATTCATGTTAGAATTACCGTTCTCGATTTGTGCTTCGACAAACTCTGCACGGAGACGCAGAAAGGTACAAAAATATCAGGGCGACAAGACTGAAAGGTAAACAGGTACTGAATACAGACCAGAAGCACAACGGATGCGCGAGAGGAGTAGAGAACGAAACCACGAAAGAAAAAGGGAAAGAACAATTCGCATCCTACAATGATTCGTGCACCGTGTGTTGATCTAGAGCTTCATTCATTCTCACCATGCCGGTAGAAGTGCAATACCTCCATTTTTCAGTGGATTCGAAGTGGTATAGATCAGCCATTCACGGATCATGTGCCTTTTCATTACTACTTTGAGGATACTTATAAATGTCGCACCTATTTCCAGACAGGATTTGAATTAAGTTCATCTTTATCGTCTATCCACAATTATTTTGTTGTTCATGTCGTTGATACGTTCTATAGTTTACCGAGATGCAGTATATAATCAAAATTTTGAATTCGGTTTACCAAGCTCTACTCTTGATTTATTAACTGTTGCATGGACAAAGTTTTTCGATCTTATTCAGTATCACTCAGGTACAACAGATAAAATTAATAAATGTATCAAAATTCTTCGATGTAGAAAACCCAATTTATTAAATGCAAGAACTTATATACATCAATTTTGATAATTGAGCAACGTTGATCTTTTTCTAAGAGAAGGAACTTGGTGTATCGCTCAACAATTATTGGTAATTTATTTGTTACAAAGAGTGAATTGGAACCCAATATTTTAAATAATGTCTCTAATGTCTCTAATTAAACAGTAAAAGATGTTCTTACTTTAACTAATAGAAAAACTTGCCCATTTTAAATACATTTAAATTTATTAACGTTAAAATGAATACTCCTAAAATATAAACACACTGACATTATCAAAATTGTTTACGTAATAATTATACTATTTATGAGACACGAATCAATTTCCAAGTTACCCTGTCTGCATTTCACATATATTTAAACATTCTCTGATTCTTGCGAAGGAACATCAATTCTTGCTCTTTTTATAACATTTACTTCCAGGGTGTGTATCATTTAGACAATCACCACGTACACCACGCAAACCATGCGACGATTGGCCACAGTGGTTTCCTTTGCGAAAGGCATCAAAAGAGATATTTCTTCGGCAGAGATTCAGTGGATCACGTTGACTTCGACGAGTTTCTGCCACCCCCACCTAATCTGGATTATCACGATTATACCAGACAATTTCCTAGGGACCTTACCACTCAAACGGTAAAAAATCCTTTTCTAAATGAGAATTGATAGCTTGATCTTTTATTAAAATCGTACTCCACATCGATACTTATTACAACAAATAAATGAGTTGTATTTTATTCGCTTAAATAAATTAAGAATTTTTTCTCCTGTAAACAATATCATTGCGTTTCATCTTGAATTATATTGTTTTGATTTTTATATAAAAAATATATTTCTAAGCTTCCTGTTCTTAAACTTATCTTGCAAATCTAAACTTAATTTTGAAGTTCACGATTAAAAAGGGACATCTTTCACGTTTCGTCAAGATGAATTTTTATCCATTTTGTAGGTCAGTACGACGGCCGATGTTTTACAAGAGGAAGAAGAGGAATACAGTCCAGGTGTACAACCTGAATTCGTTACTTTCGACCTTGATGAACCTTTGCCACCACCGCCACCAATTAGGGGCAGCGAATGGACCTTCGGCACGTTGAGGAAAACAACTCCCGTCTGATATACCGTTAGGTACGAAATTTACTCTTTCAATTCCTTTTACTTTGCAATTTTAATCAGACAATTATATCGCTAACAATTTATGCCTGAGTCACTTGTCGCCCACGCTAAGAATTAAAAGAAATACTAAGGCAATACATATTTGTATACATTTGCGATATACAAAATTTACATTCACTACTATGGAATATTTAGGCGCTGTATGCCAAGTTTCATAAAAATACAGTCACTTTTCGAATTTTGTTCTGCTATATTGAATCCACCATTTTTAATTTTTTAATTTTTAACTTTAAAATTTTTAATTTTTGAACGACCATACGTCTGATAAATGTATATTGAAATGGTCCGCGATAATTTCAAGCTTCTATATGTAAACAACAGAATGAATATCGCAAATGTATATGCATATTTATAAATCGAAGTAAATTGAGTTACCGAGGGTTACCGCGGTTGGTACATTAAAATGAATATTTTCTCGTTTCTCGCAAAGGTACGCGAGGCTAGTGCAAAGCGTTGAAAGCGACGAGGAGGACGAAGCGGAAACCGAAGAGGACCACGATATAGCAGCCGATTAAACAAATCGACACGCGTTTTAATGAGATAGCTTTCAACGCGATCGCAAATGTTTTATCGTCCAGGCTCAACGTGAGTTCACGCAGAAGCGGAGGAAGCTCGGAATGAAAGCAACGAGAATCGTTCGTCGCTGTATCGATCTCGATTTCTGAAACAATTCACTGATAAACTGTTTCGCCGAGAATAATTCAGTTGCTAGGAAATCGTGAAACATCAATGAACGGAACACCGAAATTGGTCCACGAACAATTAAGTGTGGCAGGAAATTTCCGTTTTAAACGCTTAACGTTGCCGTGTTATATGCAACGATTTAAGTATCCCTTTTTTTTGTAACTTTTTATCAGCGAGAATGAGACAGACATTCTAGGATTCATAGTGATGGTGATTTACTCGATGTGAAACTTGCAATCACTTAAGCAACGGACGAACTAAAATTGAAGAACATCTCCCGAGTTACTCGAAATGAGCTGAGGAACTCCAGTAGACGTTATCGACTCCGTTCGAAGCCTTAATCAGCTAATCGACTGCCAGCCACGATCTTCGATCACTCGTATACAAGAAGAGTGTCGTAACTTTGATGAAATATACCGTCCCTCCGTCGGAAAAAGAAACGGAGAAGAGTACAGAGTTTTAAAGCGAGACGAATTACACGGATTCGGGATGACGCATATAAATGAGCTTAAATTGTTAATTTTGTTTATTCGAAGAGTAGATAAACGTTGAATTTATTCGTATCCTTAAAAAGTTAGAGATATTTTATCGTTTACATAGCGTTTGAAATTATCACAGGAGAATTGAAGGCGGAATATGAAATCGATAAGTAACGTTACTCTGTAAAACAGAAAAGAAATTTATATAATTTTATATATATAATGAATAATGAAAGTCTTTCTGTTTCATGCCAATATGAATGCAGAAAAGTGAAGTCTCCGAATATAAGACTGAGAGAAAATATTATAATCAAAATGTTAATTTTAATTGAAATTTTAGAAATAATTGAAACATTTTTGTTAAGAACTTTTTAATTTAATCTATTTCTCTGTAACCGTTATGATATGGCTAATACAATAGACATTTTGTAAGTATTAGAATTGTTCGTGTTTGTTGCTGGCGTATTGTAGCGGCGGAGATTCTCAAAAGACTGCGATTTAAATCTGCCAAACGTAAAGAAAATCGAGACTGCGAATCGATTAATCTACTGTTATGTAAATACCAATGCATTTATTACAATTGCAATAATTTTCGTACACGAAATAATTTACTCTTGATACTGTGGAGACCGGCAAAAGTTCAAGTTCCTACGTACTTCTATTTCAATTAAGATTCCTTTAATATAACTACGACATTGTAAAGCCTAAAAGATTTTCTAAAAATTATTGTCTTCCTTCAATTCTTTAATTCTGTCAAGTCTTTAATTATTATGTAAATTTCCCTTTTCCTTGATTAATATGTACCACTATTCAACGAACAGATTGAAAGCTGTGAAGATCATATCTGACAGACTGATTTTATTAGTTTAGCTTCAATAGCTTTAATTTACAATTACTGTAGCTCGTAAACATAGTGTCTGGATTAAAATGAACATAAGTGTTCAAGAAAGACTGCGTTGTCAAGCATCAGGTCATCCCATTAGTAACATGAATGTTTATAATATTCCTAAAGAATGAAACGCAACAATTGACTTATAATTAATTATGTAAATAAATTATCTACGTATTTTCTTTCACACTACATAATATTTTATTAGATTCTTATTAAATTTTTAATGTCCTTCTTTAACAAATCTCTTTCTCATCACTATCTTTATCGAATTCTTTCAAATTTGCATTATTTAAAGAATTACCTAATATGTTCACTATCTAATGATAGAGGAAATACCTCCAAACGCGATAAGAATTTGCGATAAACCAGACTTGAAATTCACACAGTACCCCGTAAGAAGGTCTGCGGGATTGAGAGCAAGGAATTGCCAATGATTTCAAATCTTGAATGGAATTATATATACATATATTCACTGTATCGTGAACGTGTTCATAATCGAACTGATTAAATGTATCCTATCCACTGTACAAAATGCATGACGATACCAATGTTATATATGAGAAGTTTTAATAGGAATGAAATAGTCGATAAGCTTTTTATACCATAGTCAATTTTCCACCGAGATTTTGCGAGTCAGGATTTGCACACTGGCTCAACGATCAAAAACAAATAAAAGTTACATGGTGGTCGTCGATTAATCGCGAGTCAATCTAAAACTAAGCGAAGAAATACGATTGAAAGTCTAATTAAAGAAGTCTTTGTTGCCAATTTTTTCATCAGGAAAATGTTGGTTTGTCTTTTATTCTAATATTAGATATTGTTACGAATTTTAACGCAAGCCTATTGTGCGTTGCGTTTACATGCAACATATTTTTGTGATGTAAAGTATTATTATTGTCCGAGACAATTTTTGCGGTTCCATACTGTTTACTTACTTCTGAAAAGCCAATTTTAACAGGTCACGTGAAAATGAAGCGTTGCATGTTGCGTGTAATAAAAAAAAGGCAACCTATTGTTTAACCTTTATTCTCATATTTAATATTGTGGTCTTTATATAGAACAATAATACTCGTTTAATTTTAATAAAAGTTTCTTCGTAAAAAATCGACTTATACGATTTATTCTTAAATTTTATAGAAAAATGTTCAAGGAATAAGATAAAATTTTTTATTACAAGATTATTTCGAGCTTCATACTTACATAAACGCCTTTATCACATGAATGCGTGATAGTATCTTTTTTGCAAGAATTTGTTTGAAAATCGTGGAAAATAGTTGTAAATAAATGCATCAATTACAATGAAATTCGTCACAAAGTATGCGACACAGCCACAAGGAAAGTTCGTTTTGTATCAAACATTTTTGATGCTCAAATTCTATCGTTAATTGTAAAACAAATCGAGTGATTTTCGCTCGCGGAACTGTAAAAAAAAAGAATGAATTAATATAATGCATATAGTATTCGACCTCGGTATAGGAAGGAGACAAATGTTTCCGAGGCATCGCCATTGTTTATAAAGTAATCCATGTTCATTGACCTGTAATGAAAATTGTTTATGTATTCGATGGTGATAAGCTTGTTCCACATTTACAGTTTGTACAATAAACTTTTTTCGAATTGAATAATATAGCGTTAAATGTATCGTATGCTCGAGCAGAGGGAATTTTATTTAACATATCTATATTTTTCTATAAGAACCTGCAACAATACAAGTTTACGTCTTCGTATAGGTTTGATTTAACATCAGAAAATGCTTTTCCATGAAGTCTCTCGACTATTTATAACACTGTTTAGTTTCACGTGTGTGGCATTTAATATGTTCTATTGCAATTCGTTTGTAAATAAAGGGAATGGTAGATGAAGTACTTAATACGTCTGTAAAAGAAATTATAAACAACTTTGTATTGGAATTAATAATAAAGGACAATTTTTTTATTCATTTTTCAATTTATTTTGTAGACTGGCCGAATTGTGTTAGTAACACACCCTGTGTAAATATTATTCTCGTCACTTTTAAAATTGTTAAAAGTTTTAAGGCAGAAATTGCAAAATCGGCGCCCAAGAATATTTTATAAAAAGAATCGTAAGAAAATATTGACTCAAGTCATAATTAAGATAAGGCTTGCTTGTATAATTATTTAAAGTATTCATCGATTTTTTTTGCGACTTTAATGCTCTTTTCAATAGCAACAAATTTTATTGTATTTTATATCGCACGTATCGTATATGACTTAAAGATTAATTCACGAGAATACTGAAAACTGTATCATTCTAGAATCGTCAATACACGTCGCTAGTTTAAATATAGATGACGAAAATAATACCAAGCAGCTTCTCTGTATACATGAGAGGGCCTGAATGCGAAGATTTATGGTAGAACACTGTACAACATTCATTAAAGAATTTTTAGAAGCATTCTTAAAATTTCATAAAATGATAATTAGAAAAAAAATATACGTGTCGAATTGAGTAACCTCCTCCTTTTCGAAGTCGGTTAAAAAATGTTAAAATGCTTATCATGTAATGATATACTTTTCAAAGCATCCCTTTTTTTGACACTAAATCCGACTCCAGTGACTGAAAAAATATATTATTTTATATTTATGCCTAATACAGATTGTATGTAAAATATAATAAATAATTATTTTATAATTTGTGATTACCTTATGAAAATTTATATACATAATACAAATTAAATAATAATTTTGTATTATAATTTACAAGTAATCTATTCTTATTTAAGTATCATTTATAAATGTATATTATATGTATATATATAGACAAAAATGTTTCAGATGAAAATATGGTAAATCCGGTTGATATACGTGAATACGCTTTATTTCGATCATGGAAAAGATCATGTTACAATCATTCTCATGTTTGTCGTACACATGTATAAGGTATATGTGTATGTATATTTGTATGTATGTCTTTTATCAGATCGTGTGGGCAACCGCTTATATATAACAAGCAAAAGGCGAAGGAACTTTCAACGAGACATTCCCGTGTAAGTCATGTTTAAACAAACGTTCGCCAAACAATATAATAATTCTTTCGCGAAAACTGAACGATAACTTAGAATATTTCAACATATGAGTAATATTAATGTAGCATGTCCATGTAGATATGAAATAAAGTTTTCATACTTATGCTGCATGTATTTTGTTGAAAATTACAGTGAATTATACTGCGCAGATAATTAACATACCTCATGGTTGTTGAATATTTTTGTCGCATGTGAGCTGTGAATAAGTTATGGATTATTATATACCTTATTCAAGAATATTATATTCTAATTATTTTGAGCATACCATTTCGCATAACATTTTTTAAAAGGATTATATGTCGGATTTAGTCTATACAAAATTGTATTCACCGAATATGTCGCATTTGCTTAAAACATTTCGAGACATAAAGTATATCATTTCAATTGGCGAACGTTGATTCGTTTAAATGGAGATTCATTGGACAACAAACTTGAAACTCAAACAAACACATATTGTTCAATGCATTGCAAATGGGAATATAAATAATATACATGTTAAGTATTTGCCATTTATGTCTGCAAGCTGACATGTAAGTTTCTTGTAAGTCCTCGCACACTTTATGAGTCCGTAATAAATAAACAAACATAAGACCTCCGTCGTCGAGGAAATCTTAATTTCCACAGTGCCAGAAAATTGAAACATTTGTACATAACGTTAAATTGAGAGGAAACAGCATTTGTTGAGAATAAGAAATCGTGTTTAAATTCTTAACAGAACACAAAATTATGTCTTCGGACATAAACATCCCTTATTCCGGGGATTAAAACCGCCTTGATTACATAGACAGCGTCCAAATGAGCTCTAGAGAGTCAGAATGGTGTCAGTAAAGAGTTAGAAAAGTAAGTTATACACGCAATACTGTGTTTTATGTTTAATAATACGTTACAAGCAGAGGTCGATCAAAATCTGCTAAAATTTATTCACTCTGCTTCCATTCTTGAAAACTCGATCAATCATTCGCATAATTAGAAGATCTTTCAACGAGTCGTCTTAATTATGTATAATAAATACTGTAGAACGGACGATCATGATAACTTAGAGTGCAATCGTAGACATAGTTAATAGTAAATTTGAGTAGCTTGGTATTTTAATATAAAATACTTTCTCGTGGAAAAGATGGTGATTTAAATCGCTTTCGTTACGTAGACATTATAAAACTGATTATTATGATAAATTTGACTAGAAATATAAACTAGGCAATCATATTAAATTGCTTGATATCTTAGCGTGAAATACTTTATCTAAAAAGATCGGTAGTTGATTCCCTTTTATAAGGAATGATTGCCTTGATTATGTACATGTTGTGGGGCTTGTGATCATGATAATTCTGACTAGAATCGTAGACGCAATTAACGATCGTGTTGAATAATTTTATATCGTAGCGCTTAATTTCGCGATAACAATCTTTGATTTTCGTTTTAGAAAAAAGAAAATCGTTGTAATTATATTAGGTGCATAAGGTTTGCAGATTTTTGTGCTGAATTACTTTATTAACCAAATGGAATCTACACTTAACAAACGAGCTAAAAACGAGATTATGTCAATAAGTATGATCAGTTAACATTTGTTTGAGTGCAAGTTGACTAGTCATGGCAACATCAAAAACATTTGGTAATAAATAACGATTTATTGGCATTTATGAACTAAATGCGTTTAATTATACGAAACCTACAAAACTTATGCATACACCAAGTACAGACGTTGTACAACTGTTGACCGGGATAGCGTGGACAATTACAGCCTTGACTTAAAGCCACTAGGTTACTCTTAATAGTCATTTTTACCCTGCCAAGGTTATCAAGACTTTCGATTTTATTTTTATTTGTCTATAAATAATATCTTTTGATAAACTTACTTTAAATTAGTTGATACGAATTAATTATTAAAGCGTGGACCTTCTCAGGGTAAAACGACTGAACATTCTGGTACGAAGTAAGTATTCATGAAGACAAGTACAATCATAGAAACAAGTAAATAATGTATCAATTGCCAATCATTTGACGTTACCTTTTTTGAAATTCTAAAAAAACAATGGCTCGTTCACAAAAATGGTAATGTCATCGAAAAGTGATGTTTCTTTGGAAATTTTAGGATAATTCCACCTAAAATTGCAGGTTCCTCAAACTTTGAAATTGTACATAGATTATTTTCGTAATTAATGGAACGAATGTATGCCGATGACGATATAAAAATTAATTCAAATTAATTAACCTTTAAATTCTATTTTCTCTCATAGAAAATGGTAGTGACATCAAATGTTGATTTTATCTTTCGTAACTTTAGCATGATAGTCAAGCAACTTGATCCGTTCGGATAACAATTACGTCTGAATACTTATTTACAGATAAATGTTATTATTCTGCTTACTATTTGATCACAGTGGCTAGTCAGAATGCCATACTTTCGTTATAAATTCTATTTTCATATACACAGAGCACCCTTTGAACGTTTCTGTTTTCTGAAATCTAGAAGCTGCTACAGCGTTTGTTTTATTAACTCTTTCGAAGTGAAAATCGAGTTTTATTTGAACTTTTCAAACGCAAGAAAGATGTCTTTTGAAGATCTATTAAACATTTGATAAAAATTGCCGAAGTGACAGTAATAATGCAAATATGAATTTCTGAAATTAACGTACTAAAGTCGAGAACAATAACATTTTTCTCTTCTTTACATTCATTATATAAAAGAAACCATGACTTTAGACATCCTCGCGTACCAATATTTAATTTTATTGTTAAACAGCATTATCGTTAAAGAAAAATAGAAATTCTCCTATCAAGTAGACGCTAATAGAACTGCCCCCTACTTTCTCACAATAAGTTGACTAGAAAGTCACACGATGATAAGAAAAGATCCTTAATTACATTTCGTACCATTTGCTCTAATTATAGAGACGTATTCTTAAAATTTAAGTATCTTCAACGATCTTCGGCCACAAGTAAGTGACGAGAATAAGAACCTAACTGCGATCTGCAGTTTAGAGTAGAGTTATAGAATAGCGTGGAAAAATACATGTTAGTATATCTAATATTTTAAATTGTTGCTATTGGACCATTTATATTCTGTAAATAAAAATATTGAATTTCTCTTGGATATCGATACATTTGAAAAAGTCTCTTTTCACGTGAAATCAATAAAAAATGATCTTGGCAGAACGAAGTAAACGAGATCTTTTGATTTTCCCTCAATGGTCCCGATTAATAGTATCTTAAATTTCAATAATCTGGTGTAGTACAAAAATAGCATTTATCGTTGATCCAGTTTCGAATTGTTCTCGCTGTAAACTTCTTCATCAACAATTTGTAACGAAACAGTGAGATAATTCGCGGCTCTCTACTATTTCGATAGGATACTGTGTCTTACAATTATGTTGGCTAATCGAACCACTTGGGGATGGGGGTGAGATGTTGCGGGGAATAGCAATGCAATCGCGTTTTAGTATTCAGCCGATATCAACGGTCTGTTTGAGCTCGATAGAAGCAACGAGCTCTGTACGCATGTAAATGGCAATTTCAGTTTCATGCTTTACAATTCGGTCAAAACTCAGAGTTACTAGTACCCTGTTACGTTAGAAGCCAAAGTTTTCTACAAGATCTGTACATTTAACATAGATTGCAATTTTAAAACGAGCTGGGGTCATTGTGTCTACCGAGAACAACGTTCTAAACAACTGTACTTCGAGTACTCTATTGATTCATAAATAATACAAACAAGCGACGGTTCAATGGACTTGTCTGCAGTGCAAAGAAAGAAAGTTTTATTAAGTTTCGAATGATAAACTAGTACTGTACACCGTAGTTATTAAGATTACTAGCAATGTTTTTATTTTCCATATGCAAACCGGTATATTCATTGCCATCCTTAAAAGGTACTTTATTAAAAGGGTACACGTTGAAAGACTGAATGAATAAATCACAGCATTTTCGCAATTTTCCACAAAGATTAATTAATTAGTCAACGTTTTATCTTGCAGGTGCAATCCACAATTCTCCAAAAGATCAATTAATTAACCAGAATATATATCATCCCATAATTTCGTGCCGCAAATTGTGCTTATACTTACTAAATAGAAATACAATAATTTTATGGCGACGATAAAATGACTTCGCCAGGATGGTGGAGAAATATCGTAAAAAGGAACAACAATTACATTTTTTAATAACACTTAGAGGTACATTCTATATATTAATTCGAATAGCAAAACAACAAGTGGCATGAATTTGTGGGAAGATTACTCTACAATTCACCGAACCAAGACAACGAGTCCTGTCATTAAGTTTCTCAACGAATGACCGCAATATTGAAACCACAAAATTTGCAATATCGATGACATTGTGAGCCCATCATTCGAAGCAGTGTCTATGAACGATCGCCGTGTTACCTCACGTACAATGCGTATGTACATAAAATTTCTTCTGACGGATGTGTCCCCCGATTCACAAGTTTCTTCTGACACGAGTCTGTCTAGGCACAAATGACGGATAAATGGATCAACGCCCGATGATGGTCGGTTCGTCGGCCATTGCGATCTCTTCGGTGGGCGCCTTGTCCCTCTTCCTCTTCCTGGAGAACAGCATGAAGGCGCATCCTGCCAGCAGATTGCAGAGAAACACGATCCATGCAAGGATCAAGGAGAAGTCGTACCTCATAATCGCGCCCGTTGGAAACGTCGCGGACACATTTTGGCTCTCGAACTCGATCGATGACAGGAGCACCTGTATAACCACCATGTTACATGCACCTGAAACGGAAGGGAAGTATCGATTATGCGAATTCGAGTTGTGCTTTACAAGGTGAAGAGACGACAGTAAAAGTGTTTCTCCACCTTTCTTTCTATATATTATTAACAGGGTGTCCATAACGATTTGGACACATAGGAAATGTTAATAAAAATCGAATCAGGTAATAAATGTTATATTTCGGAAAATTGTCCTTAGCGTCCAAACTTTAGAGACACCCTGTATAGGATATATGTAGCTTATGAGCCGCTGCAGGTCACCCATTGTTCTGTTCCATTCTTAAAAACAAGTTATCGAGGTGACCGAGCTTAAGTGCCCGACCCTGTACTTCCTAGTCCATGAAACCTCATTTTATGATAGAATCATTTACTCATTGACATTGCACCGAATTGACACGCAATTGATCAGATCAACCCCAGACCTATTTTTATTGCACTGTGAATAAAAGGGAATCATCCCCCGATGCATTCACCTGCATGGTTCATTCACCTTATTGGAAATTTTCTCGATATTAGACTCTATAAATATATACTCTGAGTGACGAGGTGGAGTACACAAACTTCAACACCTACGTGTACTTTCATCTAGTTACTGACTTCTTTATCAGAAACGATTTTCACTATTTACCTTTATTCTCTATTTACTATTTTTCACGATTAGGGAGTGTAATAAACTCGTTTTCTGTAAACTGTGCCATAAGCCTACAAAAATTAAATAAACGAAAAACACAAGTATGATGACGAACCATGTGCTTCTAAAACAAATAAATTATCGTTGTTATAAGGTGTACTTATTTAAAAGAATTAAAAAGCACTGTCAGCTATGTCAATTTTAGTACATTAATTAGTTGTATATTGTTATCTTTTGTAATCTCAGTATGATTAATATGAAATAAAATTCAAACGATCGAATTGATCTAGAAACTCATATTCAAATTAATTACCGCTGATGAAATGTATTCCGCCGGCCAGTCGTTTGAACATGTATCGTGGATTCCGGAACGTGTAAATCGAGAAACTAAAGCCCATTATCATCACAAATAAACTGATTACTGCGAACGATACCTGTGTCCTCGAGTAACCTGAAAGCAATTGCGTCACATTTCCATAATTAACATGTGCCATTTCATATGTGATTCCTTTTAATTATAGGATAAAATTAAACGATTCATTTTCCTATGGATTGAATCGTATTCACAACATAAATCTTGAATAAATGTAATTTACATTGCTTATTAAGATAAAAAGGAGCGTTCACGGTTGACAAATTTTTGGTAATGCTGTTCTATAATTTCATAAAATACAATGAACAATAACTCTACTGTTTAGAAGAAAAAATGTCAACCCGTTTCACTGTTCACAATCAATAGAGACTACTGTAAGTACTGTGCATCGATTCTACCTATTTAATAATTTCTAACAGTTTTAATCACTTACTAAGGACAGTTCTGTTCAATCCTGGATCCAGTTTGATCTGCAATTCAGTCGGGAACATGTTCTGATTCTTGCACTCTTCTGGAAAAGCAACATCACATTGAAAATTTAACAGCGACTAATCGATGTAGAATTAGTTGGTTGCTCGCAAGGGTGGTGCACAAATCAACGAAAGTTAAATCGCGGTGTACCGTGATCACATCATCTATCTTCATTTCTCTCGTATCCTCCATTTACCATTTCTTTTATCCCCTTATCTTCCGTTGGCTAGTATGCCTCATTCGTGTCTCAGATCACGATAAATAGCTTCTATGCCTTTAAAAATTGTTTCGGAGACAATAACGCTATAATCAGTATTTATACTGTGCATTAACCTATTTCCAGCACGAATGAATGTGTTCTAAAACGTAGCTCATTTTTCTAATTACTGAGAAGAAAAATTTTAATTTGGATAATTACAATCCTACTGTCATTCTCGAGTCTGTACCTGCTGTGTTTTTTTTAATATTTGTTTGCTATACGTTGTGATTTTATATATTTGGATATAAGAAGCACATCAAGAAATTATCAAAATTCACAAATACATTTTAATTTTTTAATCCACTTACTAAATTTAAATAACCAATTTTAAATAACTTTAAGCGCATAATGAATATTTTATTCGCCAAATGAAAATGTTGAAAACCAAGGCGGTTACAAATCATACTAAAATTTACTGTTTTCTTTTCAAATATATCATTTTCATTGAATTATTTCGCTACCTTGGTTCATTTCTTCCGCAAACAGTTTCCTCTTTTTCCAAGCAGCTCGTGTGTTTTCTTAATAAGCCTCGGGATAAAGGAAAGGACACAGTGACCGTAAATATGGGAAAAGCACAACCACGAGAGGAAAACGGAAGACGGATATTCGAAAAGTTTTCATATATTCCGGGATCGTCGTTTAGTTTGTTGAGTCATGCAAGGCAAGGTGTTCGTAAGCTTTACTGTATAAATTAATATCAATTGCCCGTTATCCCTCTACCTTCTAGTCGAATAAAAATGAGGTAAAGCGAATACTGAAAGAGATTTAGAAGATATAAAATAGAATTTTTTTTCTGGAGACAACTAAATGAATGTCCATAATTTATAACCTTGAAGAATTATATAAAATTGATGGAGAGTACAATTACAGAAAGAAATCAACATTTCCCTTAGAATTGGGATTTCTTTTGGTAGCCACGACGAAAATAATGTTCAAATTACGAACTTGATGATGAGTAAGTGTAATTATTGAAAGAAATCAACATTTTCTTTACAATCATTTTTCTAAAATTTACTGTTACGTCGTTTCGTTGATTAATTATTTAAAAATTCGAATAATATTGTCTAAAAAAACGAGAAATCAATTTATTATCAAAAAGCGCATTGTGCTCTTAGTTTGTTGTATATTTAATAAAACAAGTAAACATGCAGAAATTCAACGTGAAGTAACGAAGAGTAATTTCAGAAATAAAAGAGAGAATTGGAGTAAATAATCTAAATAATGAAGGGGAAAGAAGTAAAAGAAGGAATTCGTATGCGTAGATATGTAAATGAAAGAAGGAGTTGGAGTGAACAGTTGAATAGAATTGCATCTCTATCTCTTCTTCTGGATATTTACATTTGCATTTTCAAACTAAAGGACCCCGGTGCATATTTTTATGTGTAACAAAAGCACTGTCATAAAGCAGCGCGACTACTTCGTAAACCCGACGTGAACAGTAAATCTTGTTATTAAATTCTCGGTACAATTTCGACTTTACGACCGTTAAACCCATTCGTTATTCCCCAGAAAATTAATGGTCACTTTATCTTAAATTTACCTAATGCACGAACACGGTACTGTTTCACTCTCTGCCCAAGACTCGAGATTATGTAAATACAAATTAATTCAAAAACTAACAAAGTAACAATGAAGAAATAATACCTGAAGCAATAAGAATGCACAAAATGTAAACAATACAAAAATTCGAAACAAAATAAGAAACCAAGAGTCCACGTTATCAAGCAGCTCATAATAAAACAAAATAAAAATTATCGTTACAACATCCGCATAGTCATCGTTGAATCGAAAGAACAATTCCGCCATAGCCCCAATTGGTTAAACGATTTCTTCAGCTAATCTCCATAATTGCAAACTCAGAAACCACGATGATAAAGTTCATGTGCGCTCATAGAGACGTAACAGATACTACGTTGAGCATACACTCCTGTAATTTAGTAACTCTGCCGTGTTTATGATGGAGCACACATGTGGAACACCGAGCGTGACGCATGATAAGTGAGCGCAGTGCTGCAGACGCGGTTTCTGACACTGTTTGATTAACTGCACAATGTGGAACCGGCGATATTAATACCGGCCACGCTTTTCTCGCACGAATTTCGTGTGTACGATTTAGGGGAAAAAATTCTCAGGGAAAACACGAACCTCCGGCACGGCATTTGACCGGGGGTATTTAAACAGACGATCAAAGAGCCGCGAAGAGAGAAGAAGAAGTGGATTGCCAATCCCAATGTAAATAGAATGCTCAAGTATGATTAAACGTTTGAGGGATGGAGTATCGAGGCGAGTTGTTTGTAATTACGTTTAGTTTATTACATGGTGGTAAAGCTGTCGATGACAGATTCGATGGAAATCTGCTTGCCCAGATGGCTTCGACTTTAACCGAGAAACTAATAAATCAAACGCTCCTATAGGGCTTCGCGTGGGTGTTTGATCTGAAGTAAATGATGTAAACAGGTAAACGAGAGAAGATAACGCAAACGACGATTAATCTGTTCAGCATTGGGCTAATGAGCTCTTATGTTTATTTTTGTTAGGATTTTAGCTGGATTTTAGTTTAATTTTATTTGTGGTTTACTTTTTAATTATAACATGAAGACTAGTGTTAAAAATTTATTTTCCATTCTATAACCTTTACGGTCATTGGATTATTCAGTTAATTAACCATAGTGAAATTCCAACTTGTGATGAATGCAGTAAACAAATTATAATTATACATATTAGTCTCAACTACGTAGTCCGAGTTGCGAAATAAACACCAATAAGAGCCAACTTTAAGAGAAAATTTCAACAGAACCCACAAAATTCCTCAGAGAATATTGAAAGATATTTATTATGCTAATTCTGACTGTTTTCTGGATGTTATTCTGCAGGTCTCCTTTCTATTTAAACTATTTTTGGCTATGAGACCCAACTAGCATTGACTACCTATGTTATATTTTTCATTATTTAGGAATCGAAATTTAAATGCGTAACATTACTTCTATTTAATATATATAAGTAGAAAATATAATAACATTTCGATTTTTATTATTTAATAAATAGAAACACTTAAATATGAATATTTAATAAAAATATAACGTGCTCTATCTAACCATAGATTTATTTTGATTTACTTCAGAATCTTATTTGCAGTGTCAAATCAATAAATATAATGCATAAGTGATTCCACTCTTACTTCTTCTTTTAATTCGTTTATCAAGGATGGATCAAAGTTTCAATCTAAAACCGAATCCAGAAAGCGTATCAAAGCATCCGTGAATTATTGGTGCGTGAACTTCTCCATTCTTTTGGTAAAAGGTTTTCCGCCAATAACAATTGCAAACAATGTTCGTGATTCTGCGTATATCTCCATTATTTATATAGGTCAACGATCCCGCCTTTCTTGACATATCGCCACCATCTTTTCACTCGGGCAGTTGGCATTTCGTTGCATATTTTCCGCGGCTTTAATATAGTGCCGTCGGAATTCGCAATCATCAATTTTATGAAGCCGTAAAATCTCTTAGAGCACGGTTTAAACAACGTGCAACGTTGCGTCGGAAACAGGCACGTCTAATTGTAAATTACGCGTAGCGTGTTCAATTATCGGAAAAGCATGCTGCAAGACATTCGTGCCAGCCACAAAGAGACTAGTTGGCAGAGACTGTTATGTCAGCTTGTTTTAATTCAAGCCTCGTTGCCGTTATCGATCTGTAAATACGTTCGAATTGGAATCACTTTTAATTGACACCAATTAGTTGTTTTATGGAGTTAAATGGTCATCTATACTTCGGATCAAATACCACACGAATGTGGATCCTTTATTCCACAACGAAGGGAGCATTCTTATCTGTTTATAGTTTCTTTTATACTAATCTTCATTTCACAATTCTTTTATTATTTTCACTTTGCACTTTATTTTTCTATTTTTTAATTTATTTTTAATACTCCTCGGAAAAGTGAAGTCCTTTTGACCAAAAGTAATTATGACTGTTTTCTTGGTACACGTTCGTTCGTATAATAACCAAAATTTCAAATAATAAAAACAGAAAATAGGCTTTTCTTGGTTTAGATAGATAAAATAATAGATAAATGAATGAAATGTGATGGGTAATTAAAATTGGAACTGTAGTAAAGGTTTAAATTTGCATTGCAATTTAAAGAGTGTAGGATTAATTCTATTCTTTGCAGTGCCTGAATCCTATAATGTTTTAAATTTAAGAGACGTTCTATGATGGCAATGCTTTCTTAATAAATTAATTCTACTTACTGTAAGGTATCATGATACTGGAATTTACAGACTCCGGTGCCAAGCCATGGGTACAGCTACTCCATAGACCCATCTGTTTGTAGATCAATTTTCTACCGGCTTTACCCGCATCTCCGAGAGGTAAACCTTCTTCGTTCGGTGCTTTAATGGTGAACCAATGATTGGTTCCAATGGCCACCGACCATACGCAAACTGATAATCCCACGAGAACCGTGCAACCCAGAAGAATTCGCCTCTCAAAGATAACCTGAGCAACGGGAGTAACAAAGTACCCATACATTACCTTTAGATTATAACACTTCTCTTTGATAATTTTTTGTTTGTTAATTAAGTATAATGTACACGTTGTGTTTTTTACCACGTTTACTAATGTTTTCTTCTTTATACGTTATTAATAACGATCTTAATAAAAATATACATAAACCATCAGCTTTGTAACAGTATTCGCATAATGTTCTACGTTTCCAACTATATATAGTGACTCGACGAATAGTTTATGTTCATAAATCGTCTAAAGAATGAAGTTTCTTATCACAGGAGATACCAAGGAAAATTCTTAGAATCGCGGATAAAGATTAATTATACTAATATTAAATCTGTTCTTGCATGCATGAAAATTACGAATAGCGAATTAAAATTGAACAACTTCTTATTTTATAAGTCCTCAATAATAAGTAGAATTTTGATTATAGAATTAACTTTTATTAATTACAATTTCAATAACGGTTAAATCGAATAAATTTATATCCGCCATTCACTATTCGAAGAAAATTTCCCTCGTCTCCATTCAAAGCTCAAAGAAATATACATTATACGAATTACTTTTTATTACTACATGTCATTTCAAAGGGACTAAACTCAAATGGTTCGTTTCGAATGTCAGGAAAGTATAACGCAGAAAAACGATGAAAAATAATACGTACCTGATTGTACAGCGACTTCATTCGACTCGCCATTTCGATCAATTTTCTTGATATCGATTCGGAAATTCGTATCCGGTACCAATTTTACGATCTTTACTTTCCTTTGTGGCTCGGTTTAATCGGTTTACGAACTGAATGCGCCACCACACTGCAGATACTCATTCGCTACATGTTAGGGAAAACGTTTTCACAAAATTTTCATCGGAATTCCTTTGAGCACGTGTTTAATAAAAAAGGTTACGCAGATTTCGAAATATTAAAACGAAACTTCATTTTATTTTCAGAAAGATAGACGTGTTCTGAGTTCCCTTTGATAATCTTTTTTTATCAATTAAGTATGATGTGCGAGTCGCGTTTATTTTACATGAAAGTTTTTACCACGTTTACAACACTTTATTTGTTGCTGTTTTAGTTAAACTTGAAGTACGTTTTAAGACTGTGTGTCAAATATTATTTTATAATTTTTATGTTTTAAACCATCACTTTTTCACTTGTTTACATACTTGTAGATTCTAAATTTATATTATTTCTTGAAGGATGTGCGACGTCACATTAGACTCGATTATTCTTTTAATATGTTGATTACATACTGATTCTTTCATTTCCTTTAAAGGTTTTTTTTATATTTTGCTGTTGTATTCGTAATATTTTCTTAATTAATTTTGCAGAGTACTTTCATACATTTCGCTGATTTTTTAGTTTTAACACAAAACTAAACTTCTTCGCCTTTTACTGCTGTTCGAATATTTGTTTCTTTGAAATAAGGATTTCTTGATTTATTTCTCCTCTAATCTCTGTTTCTCTTCACATCAATTTAATTGTCAAACATCATTATTTTTCCCTGGTACTCGTTGTGGTCATATTTGTCATTTCGATCGATGAATTCCATTCGGTGACTTCCATGTCTTTCCTACAATAATGGCAGGAATTAACCCATCAAATATTATTCGTCATAATTGTTTCAAAATTTACGAAAAATGTGACTCACTTATTGTCTGGGCTTCTGGTTCCTTGTTTATTCCATTATTCCATTAAAATTTTGCGCGAATCACCTGAAAATTGAATATACAATAATGAATACATAAATTATCATAAAAGTCTTATCTGTCATGCGTACGATATAATGTGTTAATATTAAAATTAATTTCAATGAATGTACAAGTATTATTTATATTAATTATTACTAAAAATATATTTCTACAAAGAAGCTGTCAATTCACTACTTATTTTGAGACGATATTTTAGTGTGTTCTCAAAAATAGAATCAATCTTGACGCTGAATTTTAAAGTGAAAAATGAATAATATGACAGAATTCGAAAGTATTGAAACGGGCACGAGGAAACTTTTTCGCGAACTCAGTCTTCGAAATGGCACAGTTTATTTAAAGCGTTCCCTTTGTTCTCAATCCATGTCGCAATAATTGGCCAAGAAGAAATACGCCAAGATAATAGCTAGAGACACTTCGCCATAGCTACTCGTTATCGTTATTTGTCAGGTTTTGTCTTTCATTGCTGGCTATGACACGTGTCTTTAAATTACAGTTTCTCATGTTGAAAGCATTTTCGTGTAAAATAGTAAACCATCATATAAAATATAAAATATTTTCTTATAAATATTACTTTAATTATTATTTCATTACTTCGTTCTATTTATTTTAAATATCATTATTATCTTAAAATTTGTATATTATTTATATAGAATATAAATATATTTTTTGAACGCCAGAAATTCTATAGTCTTGAGAGATTAGTAAACCTGAACAAATTTTGTACAATTTATCTATCGATTTCATTAGACCAAATAAAAGTTTCTTTATGAAAATAGTGAAAACATATTTTTCTTTGCAATATTGCCATAATTGCATTTCCTCGAATTGCGATAACTCTGACAAATACATCTAAAGTATTATCACTCACACAATTAAAAATATTCCAATTTTAAACTATAACCAAAGTGGTCCAATTCAAACTAACCTTCCCTTTACAAGTACATGATTAGTACCGAACAATACATGAAATTACAATAAAATTTAAAATAACGTATACCTGATCCGAAATCCATTATCTAAGAATTTTTAGTTTTTAAATGTTTATACCACGTAGATGCCAATTCATTCGCTCTCTGTATTTACGTTTGAATATAATCAATATTCCGATGAAACCACTCGTTTTGCGCATTAAGCTCACGTTAAAAATAATAATTGACTCACACAACTTTCCTTTGCTCGTAACCTATAACAGTGTTGCGCAAAGAAATATTCAAGCGTCGTCTATCGCGCCACAATGTAACAAAGCTCGCGCGTTCGTATTCGGGAAGCAAAATAATTCTTGAAAAAAAAAAAGTGAAATTGAGTAGCAGCTGAAAATAAAATGACACGAGGCATTTCGAAGCCTGAATTATTATAATGGAAGCAGCATCGAGATCTGAAAGGCGCTACCAGCTAACTTCCACGCACACTTTACGACCCATGCTCGTCGTCGGTTAACTCGTAGGATGTTCCTCGGTCTTTGTGTTGAGAGAAATTCGTGGAACGTCGCGTTGTTACCATATCACCGTGCCAAAAGAGCGGCAACTCTCGGTATAGCGAGCGGAGAGAGTAAGCAAAAAAGAAAACTCCTGCGTCGTGACGGATCGAAGCTTATGCCAGAAAATAATGGTTCTGGCCACCTTTTGTTAAGACACCTCTTGACAAATAAATCCGATGACAAGGCTTAGAGACTTGCCAACGTGCAAACGAATGGTCGTGTCAATTGTGTACGAGGATCGATGTTTGACTGGAGGATTATATATATGGCAGTTTCTTTTTTTCGTAGCCACAACAATGCGTATTGGTATTATTCGCGCAACGTTTCGACTGGAATTTAGGTAAAATAATGACGATCAAGCTTACTTAAAAATGATAAAATATAGAAATAATGGGCTATCTCGGCGAAATAGAAGATATTTATTGTTGTAGAATTGTCCATCAATGCGCAACTAAAATCACCGAGTACAGATAGTCATTGGTAGTTTTAGTATTTGGGTATTTTTCAGGCTCGAAATTAACTGAGATTTTTAAGTAAATTGTTACTGAACAAGGACAACATGAATTTATATTACTAACAAAGAGATACTACTTTAATTTATGTAATTTCTGTCAATGATATGCACATAGACGAATGCAAACATGAGGCAATTGTAGAGAATCGAGCACTTTGATATTAATGCTACAAAATTACAAAACAGATGAAAAAATTAAAAATATGAATTAAATGTGTAAGAGAGCAGACAGATACAAACAGGATGTTAAGCAAAACACTGTGGTTTTGATATTACAAAAGTAGAAAAATATAAATATCAACTGAAAAAAGAAAACTAAAAGGCCTAAGAATTTTGGTTGTAAAATTATACCAAAATTGTGCAAGAAATGAATAATGGTTCTCCATTAATTATATCAGTCAGATAATAAAAATGAGAATAAATAGAAAGATAAAAATAAAAGTTTCCTTTTAACATTTCGCTCGCTAATCGCTCTACATATTTATGAGAGAATAGTGCACGAAGAAAAATAGACTCGAGCATAGAAATTCACATGAGGGTTGGAGAACTAAAACTCTGAATGTTTCGATGCGAACCAGTGGCCGGGCATAAATTTGGCAAGACACCATCGAATGCCAGACATCTCACTGTAAGTCGAAGGTATACTCTACTTTGCTTCGTAATTTCGTTTAGATATGCATACCGATGGAGCAACTCATTAATTAAATTCTCTTGAATAATTCAACCACAATTATTTTGGCGTAAAATACAAAGACCAAGTTATTCACCACGTAGAGTTTATATTTGAACGGGAACAAGGCAGACGTACTTTGAACATCGAATTTATTGTTTATGTCATCATGGTAGCTCTGCAACGTGTAATTAATTGTTGAATTCCTGAACCGTAACCACGAAAGAATTTGCGGCGATACTTTATTAAATGTTTACGAATAGGGACGAGCACAATTTTATTCGAATAATAAAACAAACAGTGATTCGTTCATCGCGTTTATTCCACGAAGCAGTTATTTAGAAGTGTCTTTGTTTACCGTGAAGTATAAGATCATTTTATAATTTTTATTCAACAAATCGTTTTAAAATTCAAATTGTAATTTTGGTAGAATAAATGACAAAAAAAATGTTCAATTTATTATCTTGGCATCAATTTTGTCTACCTCTGCTTATAAGGAGTAACGTATTCGATGGCTGACATAGACTGTCTGTTTCTACTGCAGGCGGTAGAACGGCACAGGCAAATTTTATTAGTCAACAATTTTAATAACGACGAAATGTAAAGGTTAAAAATGGCCTGTAGCTTTAACAGAAAACTTAACGTAAGAATGTAACTGTATAGTATAAACATTTAATTTACGTCAGAAATATCCTTGAATAACTACATATATTTGGAAGTTGTAGTCGCGTGCAACTGGGAGAAAAATACTGTGTAAACTTTGTATGGAAACAGTCTCTCAGATCGTGTTACATAAATTTGCTGAGAGGAAAATATATGAAACAGGTGGAACGCTAGAAAATGTAACTGATATTGATTTCGCTTGTCCGTGTAATTTGGTACAGACAAAACTCCAATTTTCTGCACCTTATTATGGAAATTTCTCGTTCAAATATTCTCTGTATGACTTTATCATCCAGTAAATTACAACGAAAAAGTTTTACTGGTACAAAAATATCCTGTTTAATCGAACATAAAACCTTTCTAAATTTTTAACATTAAAGTAAACAATCGATATTTAAATATACAATGAAGTGTCAATGAAACAAAAGTATTCACATATTACACTGTGCTTATATTTATCTAAAATCGATTGAACACTTGAATGCGCTGTTTACTAAATGTTAATTTATTTGAGATTTGTTTTACAAATAGAAACATATAGGTGTGCTCTTGCTTTAATATGCACACCTATCATTTACATTATCATTTGTATTATATAAAAAAAAATAATTTAAAAGAGATTTAATACGTTTGTTTACAAATTTGTCCATTAAGGAAATGAATCAGTAGCAAGTACATTTGAAGTACATCCTAACGATAAATTGTTATCTTCAAGGAATGATTCAAACGTCGAGTTCCTCTTCAATTTTAATATCGATATTAGCTGCGAAGGGAACGTAATAGCACGCGAATGAAAATACTGCTGGCAATCGAACGATCACCAAAAGTATCTTAACGCCTCGGCTTGTCGATGAATGTGTTTATCATAGCAACACGTGCAGCCCGGATTTACGAGATTCGCGGACGTGAAAAACGATCTTCACGATCAACCAGTATACATAAATTATTATACACAAGAACGTCACTCAGAGAGCTTAGATGACGCTAATTCCGTTACCCTACCTAAATTAATTTTTGATGAACTGAAAACCAAACTTAACATTTCTAAAGACGCTCTTCAAATTTATCTAACTATGGATGTATATGTTTCAATTTTTAGAATTTACTTTACGTTGAATATTCAAAATAAACAAAGTAAAAAATTTAAAATAACTAATTAAATTAGGTTTAATAGGAAAGGGGAACTAGATAATCCAACACAATTTTCTATCAAATTACACACAATATAAAACACATATAGCACTCTAAATTGTACTGTTGATAATCATTTTGCAAAATTTTATACTAATCTTTTAAACATTCAATGTTCTTCTTCCCATTATACTACTATTCATTCCAATAAATTTATCTTAAATTCTATCAAACGAGATTAAAATTCATATCTGAAAACGCTTTACACGGAACGTTTCATCAAGCCTGCAAAGACTATAATTCCTTTTGTACTCGAAGAAATTTTTCCAAAGCAAACAAGCTGCGAATGAATTTTCAATTAACCTCTTATTGCCACTGAAATGCCATTATTCCAGAAGAATTTCGTGTTCCGCGTGGAACGATAAGTCTGTTAAAGGAAAATGCAGGGAGCACTTAATGCAATTACTTTTTAGAGAATAAAGGGGGCGAAATTTTATTAGAACATTCTTTGGTGCTTTTCGAGTGATACGTTGGCTTGGCGAAAGTGG